TCTGCCTCCTGGTGCTATATGACCCCATTGGGTTTAGCGCTCCCAATGAATGAAATAATAATTATTATTAGTCTACCTTGTGAGACTGAACAGTGTTAACGTAGAATTGGTTGTGATGGACTTAAAGGTACAGCAAGTTATGCTAGGCTTCTCAAGATAACTTGCTAAAAAGCAAGTATGAGTATAAATTAGCTTATTTTATCAAAGTCTGTTAACTGCAATAAAACTATCCGGGTATTTTATCAAGGTTTGCAACTCTCAAGTGTATATATTATATAAAGTTTAGTAACTTCAAAACTTTGGATTTGTCCACTTTCCTGACGAATCTTGATGGACTACATAAGAAAGGAGGAACACTGCAGGAGGCCTGTTGGCCCATACTAGGCAGGTCCTTTACAATTCATCCCACTAACAAAACATTTGACCAACCCAATTTTCAATGCTACCCAAGAAATAAGCTCTGATGTGAAAGTCCCACTCAAATCCAACCCCTCCCACTCATGTACTTATCCAACCTAAATTTGAAACTACCCAAAGTCCTAGCCTCAATAACCCAACTAGGTAGACTGTTCCACTCATCAACTACCCTATTTCCAAACCAATACTTTCCTGTCCTTTCTAAATCTAAACTTATCTAATTTAAATCCATTACTGCGGGTTCTCTCTTGGAGAGATATCCTCAAGGCCTTATTAATATCCCCTTTATTAATACCTATCTTCCACTTATATACTTCGATCAGGTCTCCCCTCATTCTTCGTCTAACAAGTGAATGTAACTTAAGAGTCTTCAATCTTTCTTCATAAGGAAGATTTCTAATGCTATGTATTAATTTAGTCATCCTACGCTGAATGTTTTCTAACGAATTTATGTCCATTCTGTAATATGAAGACCAGAATTGAGCTGCATAATCTAGGTGAGGCCTTACTAATGATGTATAAAGCTGAGGTATGACCTCTGGACTTCTGTTGCTTACACTTCTTGATATAAATCCCAGTAATCTATTTGCCTTATTACGTACGCTTAGGCATTGCTGTCTTGGTTTAAGGTTGCTGCTCACCATAACCCCGAAGTCCTTTTCGCAATCTGTATGGCTAAGTTCTACATCATTTAACTTATAAGTACTAGGGTTATGGGCACTCCCGAGCTTCAGAATCTTGCATTTATCTACATTGAACTGCATCTGCCACTTTTCTGACCAAGAATAGTTTGTTTAAATCCTCCTGAAGTTCCATAACATCTACGTTTGAATCAATTATCCTACCTATCTTTGTGTCATCGGCGAATTTGCTCATATCACTAGTAATTCCCTCATCTAGATCATTGATATATATTATAAACAACAACGGGCCCAAGACTGATCCCTGTGGAACGCCACTTGTTACAGATCCCCACTCGGATTTAACCCCATTTATGGACACTCTCTGCTTCCTGTCTGTGAGCCATGACTCGATCCACGAGAGCACTTTTCCCCCAATGCCATGAGCTGCCACTTTCTTTAACAGTCTTTGGTGCGGAACTCTATCAAAAGCCTTACTAAAATCTAAGTAAATAATATCAAATTCTTTATCGTGGTCAACAGCCTCAAAAGCTTTACTGAAGAAAGTTAATAAATTAGTTAGACAAGACCGGCCTCTTGTGAATCCATGCTGAGTATCATTAATCAAGCTATGCTTATCGAGATGGCCTCTTGTAATCTCAGCTATAATTGACTCTAGTAATTTGCCTACAGTTGAGGTCAGGCTTATTGGGCGGTAATTTGACGGTAACGACTTGTCCCCTGTTTTAAAAATAGGAATTACATTAGCCATCTTCCACATATCAGACACTACACCTGTTTGAAGAGATAAATTAAAAATATTAGTTAATGGTTCACAGAGTTCCATTTTGCATTCCTTAAGAACCCTTGAAAAAACCTCATCAGGACCCGGCGACTTATTTTGCTTCAGTCTATCTGCTTCACAACCATTTCACTAGTGACTGTGATGTTACATAATTTATCTTCTAGCCCACTATAAAAATTAATTACTGGAATATTGTTAGTGTCTTCCTGTGTAAAAACTGAGAGAAAATAATTATTTAAAATCGAGCACATTTCATTCTCTTTGTCAGTAAGATGCCCATAGTTATTTTTAAGGGGACCTATCTTATCTCTAACTTTTGTTCTATAGACCTGGAAAAAACTTTTTGGGTTAGTTTTAGAATCCCTAGCAACTATAATTTCATAGTCCCATTTAGCTTTTCTTATCCCCTTTTTAATGTCCCTCTTAATGTCAATATACTGATTCATAAGATGACCCTCACCTCCTTTGATACGCCTATAAATTCCTTTCTTATGCCCTAGTTCCTAGTAGATATTTGAGCCTATTATTCATCCATTTTGGGTCATTTCTATTTGATCTAATTTCTTTATATGGGATAAACGTTCTTTGAGCAGCATGTATAGTGTTCAGAAAACTGTCATATTGATAGCTCTCTTCGTTACCCCAGTCAACAGATAAGTGTTCTCTAAGCCCATCGTAATCTAAGCGAAAATCTGAGACTGTTACTGAGTTATCGCTACTATCGTACTTTCATTCAATGCTAAATGTAATTGATTTGTGGTCGCTAGCACCCAGTTCCTCTGAAATTTCTAAATTATTAACAAGGGATTCATTGTTTGCCAGAACTAAGTCAAGCAGGTTATTTCCCCTTGTAGGTTCTGTCACAAACTGCTTCAAAAAACAATCCTGAACTACTTCTAAGAAGTCGTATGATTCTAAATTCCCAGTCAAGAAATTCCAATCGATATGACTAAAGTTAAAGTCTCCTAGAATTACTACATTATCGTGCCTTGTGGCCTTAACAATTTCCTCCCATAGTAGTCTGCCTTGGTCCCTATCTAAGTTTGGGGGACGGTATATCACTCCTAAAATCAGTTTTTCATGCCCCTCTGAAAATTCTATCCAAACAGACTCTGTATGTGTTTACTTCAGACTTAATACCCGTTTTTTATGCAACAGTTCAAGCGATCTCGGACATACAATGCCACCCCACCCCCCTTCCCGATACTTCTATCTACTTGGAACAATTTAAAAACCCTGAATGTGACATTCCGCAGCATGTCCCGACTTTTTTAATTAAACCACGTCTCAGTTAAGGCAAATACATCAATGTTACCTGCACTAGCAAAATAATCTCAACTCGTCCATCTTATTCCTAGCACTACGGCATTAGCATAATAAACATTGAAAGACTCTCCTTTCTCTTTACCCTTCCTGCTCATTCTGTTTTTCTACTAAACCTATTACTGTCCTTATCACCCAATGTCACTGGCTTTTCAATATCTACCTCGTTCTGCTTATTACTAGTTCCCCTAGAACTCATAATATTACTACACTGGGACTTCACTGTTTCCTGCCAAAACCCATACCACTAACTATTCCTAGTTTAAAGTCCTAACAGCTCCCTCCACTGCAGTTGCCAGTGCTCCCACCCCAGACCTAGATAAGTGAGCCCCATCCCTGGCATACATGTCATTTCTGCCATAGAAGAGGTCCCAGTTGTCAATGAATGTTACCGCATTTTCCTTACAGTATTTGTCCAGCCAGCAATTGACACCAATTGCCCTGGACAACCATTCATTTCCAACTCCTCTCCTTGGCAAAATACCATATATGACAGGGTTCCCACCCTTCCTCCTAATTATTTCTATTGCTGACCTATACCTGCTAATCAGGTCTTCACTCCTACGTCTGCCAACATCGTTGCCTCCAGCACTGAGACAGATAATAGGATTGCTCCCATTACCTGTCATGATGTCATCCAGACGGCTAACAATATCCTCCATCCCAGCCCCAGGAAAGCAAACTCTCTGTCTCCTACTCCTGTCCTTCAAGCAGAACGCCCTATCCATATACCTAACTTGGCTATCCCCAACAACAACAATATTCTTACCTTCCTTGGTGTCGTTTGTCGTGACGTTCCCAGTAGTCGACTCACATTCGTCGGGTAGCACTGAGAATGTATTAGATGTTTCCACAACAGTTTCCACGGCAGTCTCTTTCTTCTTCATCGTTTCTACCTTTCCATTCGTCTTCTTGATCGTCAACTTCGTTCCCTGCTGCCCAGCCACTGACCAGTTTCCTTTCTTGACCTACATAGGCCATTAAGACTGCAATTCGGTTTTACGATAAAATCAAGAACACTTTAACCCCTAAAATAAGAATTAAAGTATCCTATAAATATGTAGACATACACACAACTCCTGAGTATATATATATATATATATATATATATATATATATTATATATATATATATATATATATATATATATTTTATATATATATATATATATGCAATAAGATCACAGTAAACAGGTGATTTTAAAATATGCAAAACAGCCACTGTGAAAGAGTAATGAAATTCCAAGCGCTTTCGTGACTACTCACATTGTCAAGGAACTATGACAGTGTGAGTAGTCACGAAAGCGCTTGGAATTTCATTACTCTTTCACAGTGGTTGTTTTGCATAATATATATATATATTATATATATATATATATATATATATATATATATATATATAATATATATTATATATATATATATATATATATATATATATATATATATATATATATATATATATATATATGACCTAAATCATATATATATATATATATATTATATATATATATGATTTAGGCCACCCTGCATCGGTGGGATACGTTGAAATATGTCTATATATATATATATATATATATATATATATATATATTATATATATATATATATATATATATATATATAATATATATATATATATATATACAGAAAGTACTGCCCTTTTGAATTAGTAGCTTAGCGCTGATTTATGGTTATAATAACAATAATACTAATTAAATTGGTAGGTGATGGCTGATACGACTCCAAAAACTTTATAGTGTTTGTTCTAGATTTACCTTATTACATGTAATTACACATTTGCAAAAAATAAGTATGAACGAATGCCTGTAAAAGGAGTAGCATGGATGAATGCTCTAAAAAGTATTTAAGAGGAAAAAGGTATAACTTCCATTCCTCTCCACAGTTATGAATGACAGCTGGGAAGCCTGTTACACCAAAAGCATGGAGCTGCCCCCCAGCAGTGATTGCCTAGAGAATGAGGGTGAAAACACTTTGTGTTCAACGCAGAGCAAGAAGAGTGACAATCAGAATATAACAGTGGAGAACCCCAACCAGAATAATGTAACTGAAGTGCGCAGAACTCCGTCTACAAAGTACTCAACGCGTTTAAAAGTAAGCAAATTGTGTTTATTTACCCTGCTTATGAATGACGGCGACAAATTAGAACCTGTTTATCAGAATCTTGGAGGGTGTATAAATCTGTTGTGGAGGGAAAGAGGGGTAGGGGCCGTTCTAGGAAAGGATGGAGGGAGGGGGGTGAAAGAGGTTTTGTGTGTAAAGGGCTTGGGCTTACAGCAGGCATGTGTGAGCGTGTTAGGAGTGGAGACGAATGGTTTTTGACAAGCTGATGGAGTGTGAAGGGATTCAGGAAAACCGGTTAGCCGGACTTGATCCCTGGATGTGGAAGGTACACTTTAAAGGATGGGTTTTTGATATTTGCTGTTTGGAGTGATATCTAAGCTGTCGTATCTGCGCGCCTTTGCAGAGGCAGTAATATGTGAATGATGGTGAAAGTTGTTTTGTTTGGGAGGGGTGTCACCCTGCCTTGGTAGGAGACGGCCAGCGTGTTGAAAAAAAAATTAAACCATTTTGAGCCATGAATTACAATTCTAATAAAAGATTGCTGTTTTATAAATAGAAAGTTTGGTTTTCATATTTAGTTTTTGAGCCATGAATTACAATGCTAATAAAAGATTGCTGATTTATAAATAGAAAGTTTGGTTTTCATATCTAGTATCTGTCAGTAGACTGTAATTATCAAAATTTGATATACCACATTGCTTGGTTACACTTAGCCACGTGACATTTACAAGGTTAGAGCAAGAGATTACGATTTTTTCTTGCTCATTGACCCCCTTCCCTTCTTCCACCTCCTGAGGACTGACCAAGGGAAGGGGATTACTAGTATGCTTTTGTAAAGCCAATTTTTGTGCCCCACATTCATAATTTATAAATCTCCCAACACGATACCCGAAAACGAATACCATATTTAAGATCTTCCTGATCGAATAACGTCAGTAAACAAAAAAAATATATATGGTAGCTAATACTGCAACAAGAATAAGCAAATTCAGTCACAAAGATGTCTCGGAATTATTGTATTCTCGAGGAAAAGCTAAATAAGTGAGGAAGGAGATATAGGTGCAAGCAGTGTGGAAGGAGTAGGTGCCAGCAGCGCGGGAGGAGAAATATGTACAAACTCTGAGGGAAAAATAGGTGCAGTGAGGTAGAGGAAACAGGTGCAAGCAGACGGGAGGTAGAAATAGGTGCAAGCAGAGAGGAAGTAGAAATAGGTACTGTGAGGAAGGAAGGAGAAATAGGTACCAGCAACAAGGAAGAATAAATGCAAGCAGTGTGCAAGAAATGGGTGCAAGCAGAGGAGGGAGAAACAGTGAGGGGCTAATAAATGTGAGCAGTAAGGAGAAAGGTGTAAGCAATATAGGGAAAATAGGTTTACGCAGTAAGCAGGAAATACATAGATCTAAGCAGGAAGACCCGTGCTGCATTTTTATGGACGTCGGTACATATCTACAAGAACCAATATTGCTATATTCATGGGGAAGAGTTGAACACCTAGGAACCATAACACCGTCTATAATAACTAATACTACATCTAATACAAAGGATGTTTTACAGTTGTTCTCGGAGTCCAGTATACGGGAGATTTGGTTTTCTTGGCCCATTCCCACTGTACATGATAATGAACCATGAAAATCAAATTATTATTATTATTATTGTTGTTGTGTGACCCCTTACATGTTTAGCGCTGTATGGCCCCTTACATGTTTAGCGCTTAAATTAATATTAAACATTGTAGTATTACTATTAATATTGCTTTTATACTGAGTTATACAGTGTCATATACAGTATATATAAAATGCCTATTTTTGTACGAATATGAAATAATCATTTCACTCTTCGCCTAGCAATATATGCATTTAAAACAAGGTCTTGTGTTGAAAAAATCACATTGCCTTTTAATATTTGTAAATATGCTTGACCATTTGCTACATTTTTTAACCAAATTATCTAAACCTCTTTTTCTTTATTTAATTAAGCCATTATTTCCATTTTTTTTAAGAAGTCACTAGGTCTTCTACGTTCGGTTTTACCAGTGACAGGGCAGACACATTCCAGCCAGAGGGTCATCCACGAAACTTTATTGATCACCACCCAGATGGAGGAGGAGCTCTCCCACCTGCTGGCCAACAAACGTTAGTTTTGTTCATTTACCTTGGAATAATAACAATAATTAGTCAGGTTTAAAGCCTAGCAGGGCAACGAAATTTAATTCTACTAATACTTTCGGTATAATTCTAATTTATTTTTGCAACTTCGATAATGAATGACTACAACAGACTACCATTTTCGACGGATGCAGAAATCATATATACAGTTAACAGTGCTCATAAAATGCGTCGTGGGAATATATCACATGGTCCAGGGAAACTAGGAAACTCAAGTATACGTGTATATAGACGTTTACCTCTCTTGGTGTGAGATGGATGGCTGCAGCTACTCTTGTGGCTTATTCTCACATTTGAAGGATCCAAGTTCGATATTGCATGAGTGCGGACGTTGCGCCTGTTCACCTAGCAGTGAGCAGGTATTTTGAGTGCTAGGAGACTTTGTGGGTCGTTCTCTGGGCAAGAAGATTAAAGGACTTAAGCCACATTGCTTAGTTTTCTTGGATTATCCTGGATTACTAACTCTCCGAATAATTGCTTCTTTTTCAATTCTGTATTCATCTACATACAAAGAATAATCCCAAAAATAAAGCTTAAAGCAGACTCAGTGTAAAATACACTGAGATATACACCTTGGTGTATCTGCCGTGTATATAATGCTGGTTACTACTGCTAGTAGTAAAACTATCGTGCATTCTAAATCCATTACACGTACAAAGATGTATTGTCTTTACTTGATTTAATATAGCCGGTGAGATATTGTCATATTAATTCGAAAGCTCTAAACCCATATGGATCATACGAGTACAACGCCTGGGGATAGAGAAGTAATCAGGTACGACCTTTGGAAGAGAAAGGTAGATAATATTCCTTAGATCAAAAACTCGTCACCAGCAACAAGGCACTCCCCCTTGAAGGGATTTGCATGAGTTAGGCCACATTTTCTCCATACCCTGTACATTGCTGCAATTTAAAAATTGTATTCCTTGTACTCATAAAAATCTTTGAAAGGGTCCTAAGAAGCAAGATCACCACCCATCTAGAAACCCATCAGTTACACAACCCAGGGCAACATGGGTTTAGAACAGGTCGCTCCTGTCTGTCTCAACTATTGGATCACTACGACAAGGTCCTAAATGCACTAGAAGACAAAAAGAATGCAGATGTAATATATACAGACTTTGCAAAAGCCTTCGACAAGTGTGACCATGGCGTAATAGCGCACAAAATGCGTGCTAAAGGAATAACAGGAAAAGTCGGTCGATGGATCTATAATTTCCTCACTAACAGAACACAGAGAGTAGTCGTCAACAGAGTAAAGTCCGAGGCAGCTACGGTGAAAAGCTCTGTTCCACAAGGCACAGTACTCGCTCCCATCTTGTTCCTCATCCTCATATCCGACATAGACAAGGATGTCAGCCACAGCACCGTGTCTTCCTTTGCAGATGACACCCGAATCTGCATGACAGTGTCTTCCATTGCAGACACTGCAAGGCTCCAGGCGGACATCAACCAAATCTTTCATTGAGCTACAGAAAACAATATGAAGTTCAACGATGAGAAATTTCAATTACTCAGATATGGTAAACACGAGGAAATTAAATCTTCATCAGAGTACAAAACAAATTCTGGCCACAAAATAGAGCGAAACTCCAACGTCAAAGACCTGGGAGTGATCATGTCGGAGGATCTCACCTTCAAGGACCATAACATTGTATCAATCGCATCTGCTAGAAAAATGACAGGATGGATAATGAGAACCTTCAAAACTAGGGAGGCCAAGCCCATGATGACACTCTTCAGGTCACTTGTTCTATCTAGGCTGGAATATTGCTGCACACTAACAGCACCTTTCAAGGCAGGTGAAATTGCTGACCTAGAAAATGTACAGAGAGCCTTCACGGCGCGCATAACGGAGATAAAACACCTCAATTACTGGGAGCGCTTGAGGTTCCTAAACCTGCATTCCCTGGAACGCAGGCGGGAGAGATACATGATTATATACACTTGGAAAATCCTAGAGGGACTAATACCGAACTTGCACACGAAAATCACTCACTACGAAAGCAAAAGACTTGGCAGACGATGCAACATCCCCCCCAATGAAAAGCAGGGGTGTCACTAGCACGTTAAGAGACCATACAATAAGTGTCAGGGACCCGAGACTGTTCAACTGCCTCCCAGCATACATAAGGGGAATTACCAATAGACCCCTGGCAGTCTTCAAGCTGGCACTGGACAAGCACCTAAAGTCGGTTCCTGACCAGTCGGGCTGTGGCTCGTACGTTGGTTTGCGTGCAGCCAGCAGCAACAGCCTGGTTGATCAGGCTCTGATCCACCAGGAGGCCTGGTCACAGACCGGGCCGCGGGGGCGTTGACCCCGGGAACTCTCTCCAGGTAAACTCCAGGTATCGTGTTCAAATTAAATAAATAAATAAATAAATACTGATTGTACAGCAACGCAAGTAACCATACGACCTGTTTTTGTAATACTCATTTGTGCTTAATTGTTATCTGTTTACAATAATGTTTTACCACTGAATACTTCATTGCTTAGTTAATCTTAAGTTAATTTTAAGCCTGCCCGTAATGCTATGCATTCAAGTGGCTTTGGCATGCTGCATTTAACTGTATTCTTTTGTACTTCTCAGTATCATGTTCAAATTAATAAACAAATAAGTACTAATACTAATAATAATAATAATAACTTCCGCTAAAAAAGAACTGTTACAAATTTATCGAAAGCCTATAACATTCACATTTCAGGCAGTAGGTATCATTTGGGCTTATTGCGATTACTTTTACTTTGTTTGGAAGCTATAGTGAAGCATGTTGGCTAGTGGCTCAAGTGTTAGCACCTTAGACTCGTATCTGAAGGACCTGGGCTAGATCCTAGTATAGAAGGGACCATTGGGCATGTGTCTTTATACCCCTATTCATCTGAGTGAAACAACTGCTGTGGGTCACTACCTGGAAAAGAGGATCAAAAGATCCCAGTAGAAGTTAATCATAGCTCCTTTATTGGATTATCCTTGGTTATTAAGTTTGTGCTGATTGAGCATCCTCCACTGTTAAGAAAATGGCTGCTTCCTGGAGAGGAGATATTGTAACCACAATATAGAAGGAATAGTTTTAGTGATTTTAATTTTGGACAAATAAGGTTGATTTAACTCTTTGCAAGAATGATATAACCCGCTATCTTCTGCGTATTTACTGGGGTAAAGGTCATTTGAGAAAGGTAATCAAACACTTGGAGAACAACCTCCTACTAAGTAAACATATTGTCTTTCCATCTGGAAATTCTTGTATATCAAATTTACTAAGCTGTTGTGAAAACTTCACAACCTACGAGGAATGAAGGGTAAATTATTTGTGAGTTTGAGTAGGATTTGAGAGAAAAATGCTTAGTTATAAGAGGAAAAACGTCCTAGTGGGGTGTCGCAAGGATCTGTACTTGCCTCGGTAAAGTCTTTAATTTGAGTTTCATAATGCAAAATTATTGTATTTAACAAATAAAAATGATAACCTTTCAAGGGTAAATTGAGTAAATGGAGTGATGTGTAGATGATGAAATTTAATGTAGATAAATGCTACATAATAGATATTGGAGAGATTGCAATCAGACCAACTAAAAACAAAAACTGATTATAACTTACATTAGGTAAAAAATGGAATATGTAGCGGTGGCGTGGCGCCTACGCCATGAAAACCACATAGAAAAGGTTCAAAGAAGAGCTACATAATGGTTACCAGAGTTAAAATATGAGTTGTATTGAAAGGCTGACTGCACTGGCCTGTAAGTGTCACGACTCGCTTGCCATTGGTTCAAATCCCATCCGTTCCGTGGTTTGATTTGCACTATAAATACCCACGCTAGCCGATAGGAGGAATAGAGAGGACATGATAACTACCTATATTAGGTCGTAAAAGAACAAGATTAGATAAGGTGGATTTTTTTCGTACCTTGTAACAGGAATAACAAGAGGCCACAGTTGTAAACTCAGAAAAATGTGAAGCCGAAGGGATATAGTTTGTACACAATGATAGGTCTGTGTAATGAATTTCAAGAGGATGTAGTTAAGTGCTTTAATGATTAGAATTTTTTTTTAAATTGTATAATGAACAAATTATTGAAGACGGGACACCACAAGCATATCTCTGCTCCTGTAGGTACAAATAGGTAATTAATTGTTGCATCTCTTCACTCAGTAGTTAAGTAGATACCTGGATATTGGCCAACTGTTATGGTTCGCAACCTGGGGAAGAGGATCAGAGGATTCCAATGGAAATAAGCCAGACATAGAGGCTTTCTTGGGATTATCCAGGGGTACTAATCCTTTGTATTAATAATCTAAATACTAACAATACTAACAATAATAATAGTCTGAATAAATGGAAATAAGTCACTCTGTCTGACTTTTTTGGGTTATCCCAGGTTCTCTACACATATGCTGCTATGTATGATAATTCTATGTAACTGTATTTGTGTATACCTGAATAAACTTACTTACTTACTTACTTATTCTACCTAACAGGCAGGGAGAGCGGAAGTGCCATCTATAACTCTGCACCCTTCACTCTGAGCCATGCCCGCGCCTCTTATGTGCGCTTCCTTAGAGAAGCAGAGAAGAAGATCAAGTAAGTGTCATTTACATGCAGGAAAATATACAGATATTTTCATTTAGGTGTACGGAAATGTTTGGATATTTGTGAGTGGACATGTCAGTAGATGGGTTCATGAAGGACGAGGTGAAATATAGAATAGATGAGGAAAAAAAGATGTGTAGTGTGTTGAGGTATTAGGATTAACACTATAGAAAGTCTATTTTCAGAATTTATCTTTATCATCCTAGCTCATTTAGTTTTATTTAAAGCTGTAAAATCCTTAGAAAAACTATAAAGTTACTAAACACTCATAAAATTTTATTAAATAGCTGTTAACCTGGAGAAAGCATGAACACATGCAACAGTAAATGTCGTGTTAGATTTTTTTTATATTATCTGGACTGGTATTGTATATGACTGGATCGACACCATGCCTAACCCTTCTAGGGTAGGGTAGGTGCCTGAGCCCGAGCCTTTAGCTCATAAGACTGTCATTCCCATTTGCCCCCTTGGGGCGGGGATGGCAGACCAGAGAGGCCTAGCTTGTGGCTAGGCCTGGGGACAGTTGGTCCCAAAGATGAGGAGGTACTTGTGCTTCCTCCCATGGGAGACTTAGGTCTCAGACACTCCCTAAAGAGGGAGCCAAGGCCGGGCCACCACTTGGAAAAGGCCCGGGCCGGGAGAATACCGGCTAATCTTTAATAATAATAATGTATATGACTTAATAAAGACTGCCATCCCCACGAGCCCCTTTGGGGCGGGGCAGATGGCAGACCAGAGGCCTAGTTTCTCCCTACGAGCCCCGTGAGGGCGGGGACTGTGGCTAGGCCTGGGGACACTTGGTCCCAAAGATGAGGGGGTACTTGTACCTCCTCCCATGGGAGACTTAGGTCTCGAGACACTCCCCAGACAGGGAGCCAAGGCCGGGTCACCACTACTTGGAAAAGACCCGGGCCGGGAGAATACCGGCGAATAAAAAAAAAATATATGTGACTTAAAAAGAATGTTATGTTCCTTCTGTAATAATATTTCTTTTCAGAGCTTGAAAGTTTTATGTAAATGTTTAAATACTTGAAAAAAATGTATGCTCTTTAATTGCAGATTTATTTTTACATACTGTATGTTTCCAGGTCTACTAGTGAACTGGAACAATATTTGGTGGATAATGTGGAAGGTGCTGCTAGTAAATTCTTCACCAGTTTGGCTCAGTCTTGTACATACATCCAGCCTGTTGTCTCATCAGGATGCACAGATACCACAGCCACACAAGTATCAAGTGAAACAGGCACAGTGGGTAAGATAAAAATTTGTTTTCTCTTTTGATACATACATTAGGCGAGAATTATCACAATAGTACTGGGAAATATTGCATCTCGAATTGATTATCAAGCGACATATAAGAGAATGTATGAAAATTCTGTGTACAGTTTGTCTTTACTAAATTAACAAAATAACTTATGTACTTTAGTTGAAATGGAAGTTTAAGGAAAGTTCAAAATGAAATTATTTATTTGGTTTAATAAGTACAATGTATTTATCAGTTTATCACCATTTTTAGTGGACTTTACATGAAAAGAAACTCCATGGGTTTTGAAACGCTCCTATATTGCTTGGTAAGTTTTTCATGTTAATTTTGAATGGCAGTGGTTATGTTTTGGCAGGATTTTCGAGTAGACTGTTCCATAGGAAGCCAGTAGTTAGTGCTGCTGTGGCTTGCCATAGGACCAGTGACTGTCCCACTTTCACATGTGTCTTTAGACACCACCATTTTGCCGTGCTTTCACCATAGGACCACTAAACGGATCATCTTAAGACGGAGACCCTAGTCCAGTAATTTATATTTACCTTTAAACGATTATGGGACAAGAAAAAAATATTCACATGTACATTGTGCTCTGCAGTGTCAAGGTTTGCTCTATCCAACTTAAGTACGCTAAATATCTGAAATCAGTTTTTTCCTGCTTCGTTTAAAGAGTCGTCAGCCCTGTACTTTTCAGCTTATTCTGATAGGTGTGCTGAATTTCATCTGGGATGATTTTTTATTGCCTCTTCAGATTTTTAGGGGGTTGTAAACGGCAATAACAGTTTTTCCTTGTGTTCAGAAGTATGCTTAATTAGATTATTTCAGTATTTTGGCTCTTTTGGTTGAGAAACTAATATGCTAAGATCCAATTTTTCACTTGTTAGCAAGGCAGTTAATTTTACATGTTATGAACTCCATGCCCATTCTTTAGAGTCTAGACAGCATTCAGAACGTTACATAATGGGTACAGGAACTGGACAACAGTCTTAGCAGAGTTAGCTGAAATAGTAAGGAACTATAATATACATAAAAATAATACACTAATTTACAGTAGTTAGGGGTTCATTACAATGAACTCAGTCACATGAACATTACATTTGGAGAATATTCTGTGTTATATCTTGCTAATCTAAGACTGGTAAAGATGCTATGTTGATTAAGCATGTTATAATTCAAGACAGTATTCTCAGTATGGTAATAATGTGTTTTGGTGTAATTATAATGCACTGAGGTATATTGTGTAGCTTTTGTCATTCTATTGATTATTTGCGAAGCTCGTATAATAAATTTTGCCTGGCAGTAAATGCGCTTTCCACTGTGGGTACTTATACCATCTCATAAGTTAGATAGTGACAAAAGCCGACAGTTTAAATGAAGATGTTGGTAGCAAAGAACCCTATTAATTCGTCGTTTCGCCCATGGTTGAAATATTGAAATATTGAGCGAAACATACAAATCGTACCATCGTTGCAAATTTGAATATTTGGTTCAATATATTCTGCCATTGATTTACTGTTATACCACAGACAAGAATGTAACTAGGATGGTTTATCGTAGTGTTTCACTCAACATTTTATTCAAGTCAGAATCTGTATTTGCCCAAAGTGTTGCACATAATGTAGGCTTCTCTTGAAGTTGTGTTGTAGCTCCGTGACAGAGTTTGGCTCACATATAAAAGAACCTGGATTCAATTCCTGGATAAGTCAAAACATGGGTAAGTCACCTTATATTTTCTGTCCCTGTTTACCTAACAGTAAATGGATACTTAGGAGTTAAATGACTTAAGTCGATTATTCTGGGTTATTAATCCTCTGAGGATTGATAATTATTAATAACTAATAGGCGTGAATGGAGACGAATGTTTTTTGGGACTTGACGAGGTGTTGGAGTGTGAGCAGAGCAATATTTTGTGAAGGTATTCAGGGAAACCAGTTGGCTGGACTTGATTCCTGAAGGTTGCAAGTACAGTGCCTGCACTTTAAAGGAGGAGTTTGGGATTTTGCTGTTTTGAGTGACATCTCAACTGTCGTACCTGAGCGCCTCTGCAAAGATAGTGATTATGTATGAATGATGGTGAAAGTTTCTTTTTTGGGGTCACCCTTCCTCGGTGGGAGACGGCCGAAATGTTGGAAAAAATAATTATTAACTCCAAAGGGATTATTCGAATTATTATGCAGATAATGACTTCTGAAAGGAGTTTGCAACATTTCTACTTTTCTTGAAGACGGGAGTAATGTTTGGATTTCCAAGCTTATGCTCACTTCCTTTCTTCTTATGCTCACTTCCTTTCTTCTTATGCTCACTTCCTTTCTTCTTTTGCGCACTTCCTTTCTTCTTTTGCGCACTTCCTTTCTTGGGGAAATATCAAAATTGCAATTGTAACATAAGTACTGTAAGCCATCAGCTACTTATAATATATTTTCATATCCTTTATCAAACATACATGCAGTACTAAATATTATCAAGATTTTCGTAAACCCAAATGTAAAGGATATTATTCATATATTTAAATTAACATTTTAATTTTAGTGACTACAAAAAGGGGAATAACACATCCCTTATCCCTTTGTGAAAATATATATTAGTGAAATAAGAACCATTAAGGAAAATATGAAGGTAAATTGATCCTACATACATAAAAAATTATATAGCAGAAAAATCCAAATTAAATACATGGAATAAGCTTTATTTTTTTCAGATTGTTTCGAACTGGCAAATGGATTAGAATGTTCGGCAGTCACTATCCCACAAATGCATAATGGACTTTCTACTCCAAAGCAGGTTAGTCAGCGATTTTTGTGTGTATATTTTAAACACATGGTCATTTCCACTAAGGCAAGGTGACCCATGACTCATCTTGGAAGAGTCATGGGGATGTTAAGACGTATTTCTTCAGCCTTAGAGTCGTCAGGAAGTGGAACACTCTGGAGAGTTTAGTAGTAGAGGCGGGATCCTTACATAACTTTAAGAAGAGGTACGATAAGGCTCTTTAAACCGGGAGTTGACCTAGTAGTGACCAGGTGAGAAGCGGGGTCAGGAGCTGTGACTCGACACATGCTGTCAACAAGTGCATATGACAAACAGTAACACAACTGGCCAAGTAATGAGTACTGTAATGATATCATCTCAGAGTAATTAAGTTATTTAACATTTAACTCTCCTGTATTATTTAATACACGTTGTGCATTAAACATTCCCTTATATTTTTTTAGAACAAGTCGGTCGTCTCCTACCCAGGCAGGGTGACTTAAAAAAGAAAGAAAATCCCCAAAAAGAAAATACTTTCAACATCATTCAACACTTTCACCTCACACATAATCACTGTTTTTGCAGAGGTGCTGAGAATACAACGGTTTAGAAGCATAAACGTATAAAGATACACAACATATCCCTCCAAACTGCCAATATCCCAAACCCCTCCTTTAAAGTGCAGGCATTGTACTTCCCATTTCCAGTACTCAAGTGCAGGCATTGTACTTCCCATTTCCAGTACTCAAGTCCTGTTATATAAAAATAACCGGTTTCTCTGAATCCCTTCACTAAATATTACCCTGCTCACACTCCAACAGCTCGTCAGGTCCCAAATACCATTCGTCTCCATTCACTCCTATCTAATACTTTCACGCATGCTTGCTGGAAGTCCAAGCCCCTCGCCCACAAAACCTCCTTTACCCCCTCCCTCCAACCTTTTCGAGGACGACCCCTACCCCGCCTTCCTTCCCCTACAGATTTATACCCTCTCCATGTCATTCTACTTTGATCCATTCTCTCTAAATGACCAACCCACCTCAACAACCCTCTGACTAATACTTTAATTAACTCCACACCTCCTAATTTCCACACTCCGAATTCTCTGCATAATATTTACACCACACATTGCCCTTAGACAGGACATCTCCACCGCCTCCAACTGCCTCTTCGCTGTAGCATTTACAGCCCAAGCTTCACACCCATATAAGAGTGTTGGTATCACTATACTTTCATACATTTCCTTCTTTGCCTCCATAGATAATGTTTTTTGTCTACATATACCTCAATGCACCACTCACCTTTTTTCCATCATCAATTCTATGGCTAACCTCATCCTTCATACATCCATCCGCTGACACGTCAACTCCCAAATATCTGAAAAAATTCACTTCTTCCATACTCCTCCTTTCCAATTTGATATCCAATTTTTCTTTATATAAATTATTTGATACCCTCATCACCTTACTCTTTTCTGTGTTCACTTTCAACTTTCTACCTTTACACACTCTCTCCCAGACAGAAAGTACGGGGTTGGTAACCTCTCGAGACGACTGTGGGCCCAGTGAATGACCTTGAAAATTGCACTGTGACCTGCAGGCCACTACACCCATATTGCCTGTGTCTAGCGAGGTGAATACCCCTTTCCCCTTTCCCTTCTCCTTCCTCGATTTGGAACTCACCCCATTCGCCTCATTTACTTATGGTCTAGAGGCGGTTTTTGCCAGTCCACATAAGTACTTGAGTGCCCGTGTCCTCTGTGCCGCACTCCACTCATCTTACGAATGTGCCTCCTGTGTGCCTACCTGCCTGCTACAAGCAAATATCCAGGTGGTTGACACGGGCTTAGCAAGCACAGTCAAGCAAGCTTGAAAGCAGCACTAAAAGCTAGCCAGACAAGCTAAGGCAGCCTGCAGTTATAGATGTCCTAAGGCCCAGCATGTCTATGTATACGTCCTACAGTGCTGCTGGCATACCAGTGTTTCCTGTAGTGGCTTAGTTAAGAATAATTAACGAGCATTGCATTTCTGACATTTTAAGTGGGACATGCCAGAGGTTCACTTATAAACATAGTAAGTTTGTGGTGATTGGCTTTTACACAGTGAACATTCATCGTCATACTTGTGCTAGAAGTGTTAAGTGCTGCCCTTTTCCCCCAAAAGTTAATTGTCCCTTTGTAAGCCTGTATTAAGACTTTAAAAGGCTCAGAGGTACTTCATTGTAAACGACTCCTTACATTTGATAAATCAGTGTAATACATGCTCTGCTCAGTGTAACTGACTATTAAATACGGTTACATAATTAAGTTGCTTTTCCTAGTGTCATTGTTGTGTTTTCTAATACATTTTCTCGTTCAGACTGAAACTTTACTGCTAAATTCCCATAATATTTCAAATTGGCAGTGTTGATCTGTGGTGTGAGTGTGTAACTTATGCTTTGTATTTTTACTGTGAACAACTTACTGCCCGCATAATGTTCAGTTTCATGAATACTTTCTTACTTGTAAATTCGGTTACCTTTTTCAACTGTGTTAAGCAAGAGTCAGCCTGTTAACATCTATGTTCCTTGCCATTTCATCTAGTGGGTTTAGCGCCTAGTTAAAATTGTAATAGTAACAATTTGCAATCATTATACTTCTAGTTATACATTGTGTAAATTGTTTTAGACTATTTGATCAACTGGATTGTAGTGTTTAACTTCTGATACACCAATTTAATGACTGCAGACACGCACTGACACATAATAAACACATTAAAACGCTGGTACCTCTCCAGAAGCTGGGCCTAGTGTGTGACCTTGAGAAGTTGAGTGTGTTTATTACAGCCAGCGGTGTACCACTCTCTTATATTTACATCAACACAAGTATATTCTAAGTGATAAAGTGTACACTTGGTGTACTTGGTAACACTTGTCATACATAGTAACGCGTGTGTAAGTGAGATTGTTTAGGTACTGGTTCATCTATCTACAGCTGCACACTTATGCTTGCATACATGTATAACATAGTAACGTGTGAGTTACCCAGGATGGACCAAGGAAGTCAACCAGAGTGATTTATCTCATTGTCATTGTAACATTACCTAGTTTTTTTTTTTTTTTTTTTTTTTTTAGTAATACTGTTTACAATCTATGGTTGGGGTAAGAGGTTGTCTTCAGCATTCATTGTGATGTCTGCTATATTATTATTTCAGTGAGGTACATTAGGTGGCAGTAGCCTGAACTAACTCAAGTGGAAGTTATCATTGAATTTGAACCTCTTGTTTAATGTGATGTATGTCAGAATTCTAATTTTATGCTCAATATTACCTACTTTCTCTCTCTCTCTCTCTCTCTCTCTCTCTCTCTCTCTCTCTCTCTCTCTCTCTCTCTCTCTCTCTCTCTCTCTCTCTCTCTCTCTCTCTCTCTCTTTTCATCTTGTTGTGATATAAGGTGTAAGACCTCGCCTGTACCATCCATTATATCATTATATGTACCATATTATTATATGGTAATAATTTACCACACATACAAGAGGTCTCTGAGTGTGTTTTTGGTGGGGTGTGTGTCGTATTGAGTGGTGGTGGTCTGGGTTGAGTATGGTTGGAGGTGTTCATTGAACTTGAGCACTTGTGTCTTGTGATCTATTTTGGATTTCTGACTTTGTAGTGAATATTTGCTCTTGCATAAGCTATAAGGGAAAGATAAGCGAGGAATTCTTGTGTTGTGAGTCTTACACCAGATATCATCACTGGCAAACATGGCAACTGTTAAAGAGGAACCTATTTCTGCAGGTGATGGAAACGATGATAGCTTCCAGACCTTTAAAAGTAAACAAAAGAGAAAAAGTGAGAAAGGGCTAGAGCGTCGACGTAGTCAGACTCACTTGACTCGTACACAATGTGACACTAAATTTACTGTAAAAAACCTTAAGACGCCTATAACAATCGGTGCCATTTACCGGATACCTCACACAAACATCCCAAATTAGTGGAAATTTGTATTAAAAAAAAA